AGGAAGAATTTTTTTTTAAAAAAAAAAACAAGAACAGCAGTTTTTTTTTTTTTTTTGGTTTGGAGGAACAAAAGCTTTCGTACGAGACGTGGGTCTTTAACCGATTAAAAGTTTTTTAAGGAAACGAGGAAAAGGAAGAATTCTCCGGGAATTCTGCAGCCAACTGCCCCCCCTGTATCCATAGGTTTTTCTGCCTTACGAAGCCATGTGTGAGATAACCAGACTGCTGAATTTGACTTTTTTTTTTTAAACTCTGTACAGTGAATTCTGCAGGGGGACGGGGACTGAGGAGTTCAGGGAGCAGCCCCRGCCGGCTCCGAGGATTTTTGGGACAGAACCGACCCTTTTCCCCTAAAAAAAGGGCAAAATCCCACAGGATCCAGCCCAAGGAGACAGAGCCACGGGAGGATCGAGTTCTGCCCCAGCTGGAAAAGATTTTTTTACAATTCCGGTGTTGGCTCGCAGCCCCAGCCTGGTGTGAGGTGCAAATTCTGAGTTATCCCAAATTCTGTGCTTTTTTGGGGAGGATTTATGATCCCAATTTTGGGGTGGATTTGTGATCCCGATTTAGATGGATTTGTCCACCCAATTTGGGGTGGATTTGTCATTTATCGCTTCCCTTTCTGTTTGGGGAGGAGGGGGAAAGGGAAAAGGGGAAGGGAATTAAGGGAAAAAGGGGAAGGGGAATTAGGGATTGCCAGAATCCCTAATTCAGGCAGCTCTGCCCAAAAATGGAGGCGTCAATAAATCCGTTTACAGAGGGGCTTTGAGAAGGAATTTTAAAAGTGATGAATTAAAAGGGGAACTGGAGACTCAAGGAAGCTGCCACCGGGACCAGAAGGAAAATTTGGACTCAGATTCATCTGCCCACACCGGGAATTCACCCAGCTGAAATTCCAGGCTCGGATTGGGAATTCCAMAGCTGAGATCTGGAGGTGGCTCCGGATCCCGGGACGGGCTGGGAATGTCTGCTCATCATGGAAAYCTCTGTCTCCCAGTAAAGCAGTTGACCAAAGTTAACGGGAATTCATTGATGTCRCTGCCGGTTCCATCCCCAGGGCGCTTTTAGGGATTTCTCCCTTCCCGAAATTCCTCAATCCCAGAGAAAACAGCGCCAGCCTGGGTGGCCCCAATCCCAGAATCTCCTGGTGCTTTTCCTGCTGAATTCCAGTTCCTGGCCTGTTTTAGTCCAGGGGGTGGTGGGGAAATCCCTCTCTGGACAGGGCGGCTCAGGTTTTGTTAAGCCCTGTTTTGGGCAGTTTTCTGCCGTTCCATTGATCCGGGGTCGGGATAAATGGGGATCCGCGGAGAAGGATCCTGAAAATTCAGCGTTTGAACCTCGGGAAATGCCAAAAATCCACATTTAGAGCCCAGCCAAGGCCACCAGAGGGAGGAAAAGGCTGGGAATCCTCATTAAAGCCATTTCAGGTGRTTTGACCAACCAAATCCAGTCCAAMCCCCCCCCAAAACACCCCAAAACTGCGTGTTTGAGAAATTCCCAAATTCCAGCGTGACAGAAACGCCCTCCTTTTGCATGGAAAAGGAAAAGCTCGCTTTGGAAACTTCCCAAAATCCAGCCCAGGGGATTAAAGGTGCCCRTAGCCAGGGAGAAAACGGGAACGGGTGGGATTTGAAGGGAGGATGGGGAGAGGGAAGGGAGGAAGGATGGAGGGAGGGAAGGAGCCCTGCCCAGAGAATTCGGGGTTTCTCTGGGGTCTGCGCCATCCTCAYCTCCAGGTGATGGTGAAAAATCAGGAAAAAGGAGTTTGGGCACAAATTATGACCACAAAGAGACGTTTTTTCCTGAATTTCAGCTGTTTGTGGTGGGAATTTGGGGGCAGTGAATAGGAAAAGATGACTTTTCAGGGAGAGATGGGAAAAAAGAAGGGATGGGGATGCTCTTCCAAGGGTTTTGGCTTCAGCTGCTCATATTACTCCCATTTTTTTTTGCCTTCTCATTTCCTTCCCCTGCAAGATAAACATCCCCCAATCTTTAATATCCCTTCAAAATCAAAGAACACCCCYCAAAAAAATCCCATTAAGAGGCCGTTCCTGACAGCTGGAGCCCCACCGGCCATCCCAGCCCTCGGCCTCCAATTCCCATTAAAACTGCGGATTCATTTTCCCTGCTTGGGGCAGCTGCCTCCYCTCGGAAAAAAAAAAAAAAGAAAAAAAAAAAAAAAAAGGGAAAAAAACCCCTAAAAAAGCCCCCCACAATCGAAAGATGAAGGAGCTTTTTCAGCTCCCGCTCTGCGGGGCAGGGAGAGCGGGATTCGGCCGGAGCTTTAATCCCGATGGATTTGGGAATCCCAGCTGGGCCCAAGAGGTTGGAATTTCCATGACAAAGGAGTGGAGAGGGTCCTGCAGATGGGGCAGCTCCGGGGGGATCCGAACCATTAACTCTGAGCCCGCTGCGATGGGTCATTCCCAATTTTTCCTGGGTCATTCCCAATTTCTCCAATGGGTCGTTCCCAATTTCTCCAGGAAGAGAAAAAAAAAAAAACCCAACCTGAAAATGAAAGTGCCTGGTTTTGTTTTAATTCGAATAAATAAAATTATTTCACTCCATACCCAGCTCTATTTTAAAGGATTTTGGTGTGGTTCTGGTGAAAAGGAAAAAAAAATTCAGGAATGCATCGATTTTTAATGTTTGGAGGTGTTTTCCCTGGAATTGGAGGTCCCTGTGGCTCACAGGGAAAAAGGGAACAAGCAGCAAATGTCACTGTTTGCTGTGAAATAAGAAAGAAAAATTTTAAAAAAGGGATTTATAGGTCCCTGCAGAGCTCCTGATTTATCCTCATTAATCACCGGGAAAAATGGAAGATCCCAAATCCCACTGAACTCTTCCCAAAAGGATTTTAGGGATGCCCTGGATTGGAAGGGATCATTCCAATCCAACTGCGGCCCTACACAGGGTGATCCCAAAGAACCCCACCCTGAATGCCTGCATTAAGGAAATTTAGGAATTTATTCATCAACACAAAACCGCCACCACTGCTGGGCACCGGATCTGATCCGACATTGAACAAAACTCCAGGAAATAAAAAAAGGATGGGAAATAAWGCAGGAAATTAAAATCAGGATGGGAACAAAGCAGAAGATAAAACAGGGATGGGAACAATGCAGGAGATAAAATAGGGATGGGAAGAAAGCAGGAAATAAAATAAGGATGGGAAATTAAGCGGGAAATATAATAAGGATGGGAAATAAACGAGGAAATAAAATTAGGACGGAAAATAAACCTAATAACGAGCGGAAGCCAGGGAAATGCATCAAAACTTCGTTCATTTCTCCTCCTGTCTCCTCCTGCAAATCCAGCTGAGGCAGCAGATCCCGACGCTGAGCAGGATCCCCATGACCACTCCGCTCGCAATTCCCACCACCGCCTCGTAAAACCACTGCTCCTCCCAAAATTTCGGCCGCCGCCGCCGATCCCTCTCTCCGGCGCCGGTGTCGTTGCCCGCATCCTCGCCGCTGGCCGCCAGCTGCTGCTCCCAGGTCAGGGATTTCTGGAAATTGAGCTCCACCAGGTCCCGGGGGATCACCTTGAGGCCGAAGTAGATCCTCTTGACGAGCTTGAAGGAGCTGAGCTCCTGCACGTCGCAGCGGTAGGTGCCGGAGTGCGACTCCAGAGCCGGCGAGAAGCTCAGCTCCGGGCTGGGGAAGCGCAAGGGCTGGAACAGGAGGTCGTTGGTGGTGACCAGACCGCGGGCGAACTGCCACGTGTAGCCAAAGGTTTGCTCCTCCAGGTCGGCGGYGTCCGGGGAGAGGCAGCTGAGGCGGAAAGGGTCTCCCTCGGCCACGCTGAGGTGCAGGAGGCCGCAGATCCAGCGGCTGAGGCAGCGCGAGCGCACCAGCGAGCAGTTCCCGGTGTCGCCGGCCGCCGTGACCTCGCAGAGCCGCTCCTCCCGCACGCCCAGCCCGCAGGTGACGCTGCAGGGCGTGGCGTTCACGGCGATCCTGACCTTCAGCTGCGCCGGGATGTTCCCCGACCCCAATTCTGATCCCGATCCCAGTTCCGATCCCGATTC